TTAAAAGCTTTAACCTTAAAGTCGACTATGCACTTTTAAGTTGTTCCTCCACTTTTGCATGTTGCCTTTGCCTTCTAACCTCATTTGGGACTTGTTGCACTACCTTCAATATTGTGCAAACATGTTGAGCTAGTTGGTCATTTGTAATCATCAAAACTTCACTTTCTTGGTCTTAGTACCCATATATGGTTCAACAATCTCCCCCTTTTTTATGATGACAAACACTTCATTGAGAAATGAGATTAGTAGCATAAGAAATCAGAATTAAACTCCCCCTAACTATATGCTGCCCCTTACTAAGTTACTTGGAGATAAAAAGTCAATAATTCCCATAAAAAGTCAGCAAATTTCTCCCCCTTTGTAAAACAATAAAGGAAGCATAAAGTAATAAAAATTTCTCTATCTCAACATCTCTCTTCCCCTTTTGGCAACATCATAAAGTGCTAAAACATGTATAAATTATAAAGGTTAAAAAAGTCAACTTCTAGTCAAATTAAGTCCTTAATCTTCAAAGTATGAATCAAAATCATGTAGAACATATAAAATGACTCAAAAACATCAAAATATACATAATTTCCATATATTTCACAAAATAACAACTATTGGTCCAATAACATCTCATTTGGCATCTAATAATCATCAAAATACTTATTTAAGTTATTAAGACATTGAATCAAGGTATTACATCATGTTAACCACTTAATAAAATCACATTCAAATGTCAACACATAAGCATCAAAGTTAGATGGTAGTACAATCCTAATTCCAATTCTAATTTCTAAAAATTGATCTTTAGGCAATGGCTTAGTGAAAATATCTGCTAATTGAGCATATGATTCTTCAAATTACATATTGACATCTCCTTTAATAACATGGTCTCTAAAGAAATGATGTGTAATATCTGTATGCTTTGTTCTTGAATGCATGATAAAATTATTAGTTAAATTGATTTGTGTTATCACATTTAATTGGTATGTGAGTGAGGGAAAAACCATAGTCTTGAAGTTGTTGCTTCCTCCTCAAGAATTGAGAAACCTAACTTTTGACAGCTACATATTCTGCTTCGGCAGTTGATAAAGAAACACTCACTTGCTTTTTTCTATGCCAAGAGACTAAAGCATTCCCAAACAAATGACAAGTATCACTTGTACTCTTCCTATCCAACTTGCAACCGAAAAAATCAGAATCAGAATAACCAATCAAAGTAGGTGGGAATCCCTTGGGATATCACAAACCAATTTGTGTAGTGCCTACTAAGTATCTCATAATGCTTTTAACCACATTTAAATAAGACTCTCTAAGACAAAATTGATATCTAGCACAAAAGAAAACACAAAACATTATATGTGGTCTACTAGCAGTCAAGTATAATAATGAACCAATCATGCCTCTAAACTTTGTTACCTCAATCGGTTTACCATCTTCATCTTTGTGAATAGAGATTGAAGTGTTCATAGGTGTGTGTATGGGTTTTGCCTTGTCCATCCTAATTCTCTTGAGTAGTTCTTTGCAATACTTTCCTTGGTTGATGAATATGCCTTATTATTCTTGCTTTATTTGCAATCCAATGAAGAAGTGGAATTAAGGGAAAATCTGACGTACCAGGTTCAGCCGTTCCAGATCCTGGAGAGATTTGTTAAGCAACTCCGTTCAAAAGAGATTCCGTTGGTAATAGTGCTGTGGAACAACAAATCAGCAGCCAAAGACAACATGGGAGCGCGAAGATGAAATGTGAAAATTATACCTGGAATTCTTCGAATAGGTACGTCGTTCGAATTTTGCGGACAAAATTCAATTAAGGTGGGGAGAGTGTAACAACCCGTAAAAGTTCACAAATTACTTGAACATGATTAGGGATACATGTGTATGACTTTGTGAAGTACTTAGTTAGGCCTTTACGAAATTCTTAGGCCATGGTTGCTAATTCTTCATGATGATAAAACATAGCTATTATCGTTTAGCAAATCACTAGGGTTATAACCTTTTATTACTTAATAAACCACATGAAATGATAATTGAAGTGACACTAGGAAAGGGCTTCGGCCATGAGGTCTTATTGGGCAAGAATTAGGAGTCATTGTGAATAAAACTCTTAGGCCTAAGCTTGTGTAGATCCATTAAATCCAGCCCTTGGTTCCTTTGGAAAATTGTCATGAAAACAAGCATTAAAAATATGACCCAAACAATGTACACCCAGCCCTAAGTCCAGCGCAAATCCAGCCCAAAAAGTTAACCACAACCAGCCCTTGATCCACCTAAATTAATTGTTAAAAACAATACTAAGTCACACCAATTTTCTGATTGGATGCATGTCTCTTTGTGGCCTAAAATTGGCCTCCAACCTGCGCCTATAGCCTTGCATGCATGGCTGCCAAAGCTGATTACTCAACACCCCAAAAATCTGATTTCTTGTAAGCCTTGTGAGCAGAATTTTTTACCAATCAGATTGCATGCAAATGAAAAAGCAACTCCCCTAACTCTTCCTTCCCATACTTATGCGCAGACCCCATTCTTTGTGACCAGAAAAACTTAAGCTTCATCTACACCCCTTACAATTTAAAAACGCCAAACTCCCTATCTTGTCTCACCATGCGTTGAACACCAAGGAACCCTTAGGAAAATCTAGACAAACCTCACTACTTCTCCTCTCTTGTGCGCTAGCAAGAGAGGTAAGATACCTTGCCATTTCAAGTTCAATCTCTCATCAATCTTGCGCCATTTCCAGCCACATAACCAGAGAAGATCATCAAGCATTGGGGACAATCATCAACTCTCTCTTCCTCGGTTTTTCCCTTCATCAAGGAGGTAATATATCTCCATCTATTTCCTCGACAACTCTTCCTTTTCTCTTCGGTTTTAATGAAGAATTTCCCCTCTGCATGTAGCTGGGAGTTGGTCCTCTTGCTCTAGGAAACTCATCTCTTTAAGCTCTCCATTTCTTCCCTTCATATACAAGTGTAAACTTGCAAAGAACAAGTAAGTCTTCTTCCTTTACTTTGCCTATGCTTCGGATTTCATGAGGGCTTAAGGGTAGGAATGCTTCTTATTTTTTTATCTTACTCTAGATATCACTAGTTGCATGTGGGTAGAAATTAAAAATGTTATGATTTTGCCTATCATCTAAAAGAAACCGAAAATGGGAGGTTGTATGAGCCACTTGTTGCTTCTGTTTTATGTTCCTTAAAACCGAAAATAAATATGATTAGTGGGTGATGTTACTTTTGTTGAACAGCAAGTTAAAATTGATTGAAGAATTAGTATAAGTTAGGAAATGATTCTTAGGCTATTGAAGTAAAAAGAGCTTAAAGGGGGGGGGGGGGGGGGGGGGGGGACTTGAAAACCGAAAACTCTATATGCTTAGGAGAATGATTAGTTCTCTGTTTTGATGTATGATGAATAGGTTCCCAAGCCTCAAGGAGAACGAATTAAATTGGTGATCCATTGGTTAAGTATCTCAAGGAATATGTAAGCGTCTGGTGACATTACCTTCTGTGACTGCTAGCTAGTACATGGATTGTGAATTGTTGCTCTCATGCTTTGGATTTGAATTCTGTATGCGTTATTCGCATTCTGTTCATGGATATAATATGCTGAATCTAAATTATGTATGCGTTATTCGCATTCTGTTTTGGAAAATAATTGTTATACAGCATTCTGATATTGGAAATCCATGGGATATATGTTATATGAAATACTACTTAGTCATATTGTAACGCCTGAAAACTTGCAAGGATCAACGACTGTCCCCACACACTAACACGAGACTTTTCAGCGTGCTTTGTCCTCACTCGCACACTTCCCGGGAAAACTTCCCAGGAGGTCACCCATCCCAGAATTGCTCCAAGTCAAGCACGCTTAACTATGGAGTTCTTCCGTTCTGAGCTACCGAAAAGTAGATGCATCTTGTTATTATAGGTAGTACCAATTAATTCTTATAAGCCATTCCAAACTGTACCGTCCCATACCAGCACAGTCTCTGGAATCCCTCTCTTTCGAGTGTTGATTCGATTCATTCATGAACCCCCAAGCTGCAAGATTTGGCATGAGCTGCACATTGTCCGTCCCCTTTCGCACCGGCGATCACTCCCTGCCCTTGCCAGCTCTTGGATGTTACATGCCCACCAGCTTCCGCCTGATTCGTCCTCGAACCACACCGTACTGGAAGAGAGGCTCTGCTTTGATACCACTTGTAACGCCTGGTAACTTGCAAGGATCAACAACTGTCCCCACACACTAACACGAGACTTTTCAGCGTGCTTTGTCCTCACTCGCACACTTTTCGGGAAAACTTCCCAGGAGGTCACCCATCCCAGAATTGCTCCAAGTCAAGCACGCTTAACTATGGAGTTCTTCCGTTCCGGGCTACCGAAAAGTAGATGCATCTTGTTATTATAGGTAGTACCAATTAATTCTTATAAGCCATTTCAAACTGTACCATCCCATACCACCACAGTCTCTGGAATCCCTCTCTTTCTGGTGTTGATTCGATTCATTCATGAACCCCCAAGCTGCAAGATTTGGCATGAGCCGCTCATTGTCCGTGCCCTTTCGCACCGGCGATCACTCCCTACCCTTGCCAGCTCTTGGATTTTACATGGATACCATTAGTGTGACACCCTCCCTTGTATGCATCCAAGAGAGTTGTTTGCTAAGCGGAATTAGAGTTCGTTTGTCACAATTATATGTACTGAAAAATCATTTTGACTTTCCTAATTAAAACACATAGTTGAAATCGGTTTACTTACAAAAATCAAAGTACTTTCAAAATTCTTAACTTGATGAAATTATTATTTTTCTTGGCAGACGTTGCTGTCTTCCAAAATTCGTATAAAATCCAGTTTTCAAAATTCCCTTGTAACGTTTACATAATCTGAAAGTAGACACGTGGGGCTTCGCGTGCATATAAAATATAAGCGAATCGGAGGTCTGTAGCCCCACTAAATATAACTCGTAAAGTGCTTGTTAAATCTGTTTAGAAAATCAGCATTCAAACCTTAGAAATTTTTTTTCGCAAAGCGTTTCCGGAATTTGTTTTCAAAATACTTGCTGATCCCAAAAGTCTTAAAAACAGTAATAAAATCATAATTTAACAGTAATCCACACTACTCAATTTAATACAGTCATCCATCAAATAACAGCAACAGTAATAGTCCATACAGCAGCACATAACAACAAATATCCATATAATCATGTCTTCCAATGCTCTTTCGTCCTCCTGCCATTTTGTAAAAATAGCAACCCCAAAGGGGTGAGAAAAATCCCAGTAGTGTGGCAACACAACCAGTAATGCAACAATATTAAACTAGGCACAAAATTATAAACAGTCACATCAATCTTTCATTTTCCGTTAACATATCACAGTGTGTATATAACGCCATCATTACGCTCATAGCACCTTCGTGCGCGTACTAACATTTCATAGTGCGTATATAACACCATATTCATCATAATGCGTATACAACGCCTTCATTGCGCTCTTAGCACCGTCGTGCGCGCACCATTACAGTGGATATTCCATAATGGCTCCCATAAAGGTGAATTCCATCTGTGGACCTATGCAGACTGAAGCCAAGTGTCCCCTTCCCTGGTACCGAGGTATGCCTATATGATGCGTGCTCAAACGAATGCATATTTATATAGATATTATTATTAGCCAATGCAACATGAAATTTATGCATGTATGCCATGCTATGATGTCACACACAAAACAGAAAACAGATGCGGTATGATGTAAAGTGCATGCTTATATCATCATCATCATAACATATACTTCATGTACTTTGGATGCCATACTGCCACACCATCATTTCTTTTCATGACAGAGTTACCATCATAACATTTCCATAGGCAGAATACTTTCATCATAAATAACAGGATAATCATTAGGCACATGTGAGCAACAATTCACAACTTCATACACTAGTTAATAGTCACATTAGGTAATACCACGTAACACATACCTTGGGTCCAAGCAATAATCAACAGCACCAAAATTCAGCTCACTCATTAAGAGTTATGTGCACCTAAAATACATGCGGTATAAGTCAGAATTTTATTCATACAGTCCTATTATTTATAAGCTGATTTCATGCCTCCCAATATTCTTGTATTTTACTCAGCTTAACATGCATTTTATACCAACCAGATTCTTGCTTTCATACTAATTTCATGACTGATTAACAATAATAAAATCCTAAGTTCCCAACATATACCAATTCGGTTTCCTAATGTTGGAAGGGTGCTCAAGGTATTTTTGTCACAAAGCCACTTCTTCTAAACCTATGCTTACACTAATAAGGTCTTAAACATGCTGCCCCATGGAATACACAACATGAAAAGTTAAATACACAATGTAAACCAACAAAACAGTCCCCCACAATTTACAAGAGGATATATTCAAAGCTCACTATACTAATCATTACGGTTGCTCATGCCAATTTCATGAGTATTCAAGTGAATAACCTCAATCGAGTTATTATGCTACTAAGGCCCTTCTATGTTATACCACCCTTTGTCAGCAATTAATTTCCCAAGGTCTCATTAATTTCCTTTACTCAAAATTCTATTCACATCAATTAAACATGAAGGTTCACATCTTAGCATACCATCTTTGGTCTTCCTACACATACACCAACTAATTTTCTGATTTCCCTCCACTTAAACAATTTGTCAACAACACTTAGAATCCACAATTTCAACAGCATGCAGAATCGGTTTTTGACTCTTAACAATATGCATCAAATTCTGATTTCAATCAATTTTTTTTTATCTACTTGTTTACAACAATAAAATTCATAGCTCCATTATCATACAGAACCGATTACGAGAACCATTCCCTAATAGCTCAGAATTTTAATTAAATAAAACCACTTACATGACTTAAATTAAATCAATAATCCTTTAGTGTGAGATTTAACCAACTTAGACATGTGCCACTCTACTAGTTTTCTGTTTAATACAGCGGACCACCCCATAGCTTAAGGGACTTCAATTAATTTGGTTTACATAGCATTATACATTTAAATTAAACATACTTTAATTAAAATACTTTAATTAAACATACACTTGTTGTTTCCATCGTTCATTAGCCAAGGCAAAGTCTCTCCCCTAACATGTAAATGAATGGCCGAACAACCAAGACAGAAAGGGATTCTAATGTTTACTTGTATGCACACTAGGTTCTTGGGCAGTACAGTGAACTAAAAATCACAGGATATGAATGACAAAAAAATGTGTTCTTCCTAAATCCTACAAGCAGGTCGAAATGGAGAGTAAATGGGCTGGTTTTGTGGTTACCTTCTTGGTTGTACCCATGGTTTTCCAATCGGCTATGAGGAGGCACCCACCAATTGATACGTAATGGATCCTCATCCTCCCACTCTCCAACAATGCAGATTTACCACGGCATGCAAGAGAAATCATCGACTCTTCCAGAATTCAAACGTGCAGCAACATGCAAGGGAAAATTTCTAAGAAAGCCGAAGGAAAATGAGACAGAGATGAAGAGGACACACCGTACCTTGTTGGATGATTGAGGCTCGGCTGAACAAAATTGTTGCCACTCAATTGAACCAGTGAGGTAAGTAAAATAGAAGCTTAGATGGTAATTCTTTTTCACAGTTTTGTGGGTGTCTAGTTGGCTCAGTCTTCTGTTCTGAATGGGGAGGAAGAAATCAGTTTGGCTGATTCAAGAACAGGCAACGAAAAGAACAACACACTTAATCAGACTAATCGAGTAGAAGGAAGACAAGAAGTAAGAGGAACGTCCTACCCCCTTGCTCCAATGCACGCGGCCTGGTCATGGGAAGAGATGAACTTGAAAGTGAGAAATTGGTTCTGCCCCTAGTGGAGATCACCGTTCTTAGGGAAAGATGAGGATATAATAGTGTTTCAGATTTTTCTTTGTTAAATGAGGTACAACTGATTTGTTTCTGTTTGTTCTCTATCTCACGCCTAAATAGATGGTGGGGATGATGACCAGTTTCCTCTCTTGGTTTCACGGTTCAAGGGAATGTGAGTGAATCAATTTTGGGTTGAGAAGATATCAAGTCCTTGTTCAAGAAGGACCTTCAGCCGTGACATGGCTTGAAGAACAAAAAGCTTTCCTTGCTTAGTTGTCGAACATGCAAAAGGGAACAAGAGATTTTGTTTAACACACACTCAACATGCATTGGCTGATTGGATTTGGAGGATAAGGTAAGGGATCATGTGGAGAAGTACTTGGGCTGATTCTTGGCCTTAATTAGGGGCTTGGGCCGTGGCCCTAAAGGAGAATTGAGTTCAAATATATATTTATAAGTCCAAAGTACTCCTATCTTAAGAATTAATCCTTGCCTTATTATTTTATGTACCTTAACATTTTATGTATTGATGAACCCTTAGTTCATCAGGTTTTTAAGCATGAATTAATATCAATTTGTGTGATTAAATGGATGGAAAAGAGGTTAATGTCCTGGAAATCTCTCAAATACAAGTTCTGAAGCTTATGTTGAAAATTTACATTGTTTTTGTAGGGAAATGAAGCTCAAGAAGCAAAAGAGAGAAGGAAGAAGATTCTGAAGAATGGGAAAATTCTAAGTGTTGGGCGCTAAAACGCCCAAAACTGAGCGTTTTAGCGCCCTGTTGCACAAAAGATGCTGGTGCTGAACATTAAAACGCCCAAAACTGAGTGTTTTAGCGCCTGAACATTAAAACGCCCAAAACTGAGCGTTTTAGCGCCCAAGACAGTTAAAAGCAGTTGGGCATCCGTCAAGGTTGAGCGCTAAAACGTCCAGAAATGAGAGTTTTAGCGCCCATGTCAGTTTTCAGTTGTAATTTGTAAATTATAAAAGGACAAGGGGCCTTCACATTCTGACATATTCCAGACAGAATCCAATCCTATCATATCTCATTCTGACTTTTCCCATCACACTAGGAGAAGGGAGATCAGATCAGGTCTTTCATAGATCTGATCTGACTCCTCATTTTCTCTGAATCTCTAAAATTCTTAGGATTAGTTCTTGTAATAGTTAGTATTTCCTATGTAATTGCACTTGGAGATTGAAGACTCAACTATCATGTCAATGGAGTTTGATCTTTCTTCTCTTGTTTGTATTTCAATTATGTCTTAGTAGAGTTTTTGTAGTCTGATTCAATGGAACTCAAGTTTGAATTTATGAATGGTTAATTAGATGTTTTGTTTATCTATTATATGATTCTATGAAGTTGTTTTGATTAATTCTTCATGTTGAGGAATAGTGTAGAACAGACATGTTTACATTGTTTCTCTATTTTTGACAACTTCATCATCAGTGTTCTAGTAGTCAAGGGATTGATGCTAGGATTCTGATGTGATCTTAAGACCTTAGTAATTAATGCATGTATTAAGAAAGGAATCACCAAGGGATTGGGGTTTCTGATTAATGTGTCTATCAGGGTAGTAAGGGATTACATCTTGAGATGATAAGAAAAAGGTTGATTAACATCACATAGTAGATAATTCATAATGGAAATTGGTTCATCTATAAATTCATGTTTGAGGGAAAATGACATCTGACTACTTGTTTACATTATAATTTACATTTTATTTATTTATCAAGTTTCAATTCAATTCAGTGTAGTTTCTGGTGACAAGAAATCTATGCAATCTATGAACTTTTGTTTGATTCAACTCAAGTACATATGGTTAGTCAGTGCTTGACACAAATCCTCGTGGGAACGATCTTTACTCATCATTTTATTACTTGTACGATTAGTACACTTGCTAAACGTCCAACAAGTTTTTGGCGCCGTTGCCGGGGATTTGTTCTTCAACATTGACAGACACCATTAATATTTGAGATTGAATCCTTTATTTTTCAGCAATTTATATTTTCATCAATTCTGGTCCAGAGCGCTAAAACGTTCAGACGTGACCGTTTTAGCGCAAGGCTACGCACATCAATGTGCGCTTGTCTCTGGAGACCAGCGCTAAAATGCTTGATTTCAACGTTTTAGGGCTGGTCCACTCATATGATTTACATGTTTCTGGGTAGTTTTCTCTTAGTTTTATTTTGCTGTTAGTTTAGTTTTGTAATTCAGTTAAGTACATTGGGATATTCACTGTTTTTGCATGATGCACATTATGATAGTACTGATGCTATTGGTTTATAAATGAATGTGTTTCAGTGATCCATTGCTGTTTCAGATTTGAATTAGTTGCTGGGGACAACAACGTTTAAATCTGGGAATTGGGTGTGAATGAATGGCATGCAAACATCATGGAGATGTCACACAAATTGATGAGCCAAAACAGGGAAATATCTCAATCTTTTTCTTTTTGTTTTTAAGTTTTCTGTGTGATTTAGATTTTAGCTGTAATATTGAATTTGGATTTCAGTTGTGATATGGAATTCCATGAGGATTTGACTGATCAAAGTTTTATATGATTGATCAAATTAAGGATACAATCTTATACCTTGCATGTTGAGCTTAAATGAAATGATTGCATGACTCATTCAATGTGTAAGAGTAGAAAGATTAGTTTTGATGCATATAGAGAAAGTCAAGCATACACTCTGAACTGTGAGGAAATTGAGCCTATACAGAAAATTTTGTTCAGAGAGCACTTCACTGCATGAATAGCTCTAGAACTTGCCCTGTTTCTTGCTTGAAATGGTTGATGATGTGTAGGGTAGAGGCATTTCCTTCTTGAACCAGAAAGTCAAATGGCCAACCTTTAAGTTCCAATTGCATGAAACACTTGAGCCTAGCCTGTTGTCTATCAAGCCAAGAACCACATTTATTCCAATCCTTCAGATTAAAAGTTTCAGATAAGTGATAAGGGATGGAGTGTTCTGTGGGGAGGAAAGTGTTTTTGCAATAAGTGAATGCAAGGTGTTGGAAACATAAGAAAGAAAGAAGGAAAAGAAAGAAAAGGTTGTGAAACACAAAGTGTTTGGAAGAGACAGAGGGAAGTATTAAAGACACAAAGTGTCTGAAAGAAAAAGAAATTTTTTTTTGTTAAAGACACAAAGTGTCAGGAAGAAAAGGAGGAAGAAAGGTTCAAAGAAAAGAACAAGGAATGAAAAGGAAGAAAGTTGAGGGAATTAGGAAGAAATTGATTAATTACTGTGAATTCCCTCTTATCTGAATCTGATTCATTTGATCTGAACTTACCCTTTCACAGAAATCCTTACCTTTAGTCAAGCCACACACCAAGCCTCATTGCTAATCATACCAAAACCTTTTTGATCTACCTTATGGATCATTGTTACTATGAATAGTGAGAAGATGGGCAAGCATATGGTAGTTTGAGTGCAGTGAAGAGTGAGTGATAAGTACATCCTTAAACACTAGTGTGCAAGAGTGTTAAAATTCTCATAATTTTTGAGAAGTTCCTAGTGAGGGGGTGTTGTTGTTTGGAAGTCTCTGTATATCATCTTTACTGATCTGTTGAAAAGTCACAAATGATGTTGGGCAAATCATAGGAAATAAGAGATTGCATGGTTATAATTTTGTATCATGAAATGTTGATCTTTTGTTAATTAAAGTTCATCCTCATGAATTTCATCTGTAAAGAATCTCAAGTCCTTCTCTGTTTTAATTCATTGCTGAGGACAGCAATGTTCAAATCTGGGAATTGTGATGAACCCTTAGTTCATCAGGTTTTTAAGCATGAATTAATATCAATTTGTGTGATTAAATGGATGGAAAAGAGGTTAATGTCCTGGAAATCTCTCAAATACAAGTTCTGAAGCTTATGTTGAAAATTTACATTGTTTTTGTAGAGAAATGAAGCTCAAGAAGAAAAAGAGAGAAGGAAGAAGATTCTGAAGAATGGGAAAATTCTAAGTGTTGGGCGCTAAAACGCCCACAACTGAGCGTTTTAGCGCCCTGTTGCACAAAAGATGCTGGTGCTGAACATTAAAACGCCCAAAACTGAGCGTTTTAGCGCCTGAACATTAAAACGCCCAAAACTGAGTGTTTTAGCGCCCAAGACAGTTAAAAGCAGTTGGGCATCCGTCAAGGTTGAGCGCTAAAACGTCCAGAAATGAGAGTTTTAGCGCCCATGTCAGTTTTCAGTTGTAATTTGTAAATTATAAAAGGACAAGGGGCCTTCATATTCTGACATATTCCAGACAGAATCCAATCCTATCATATCTCATTCTGACTTTTCCCATCACACTAGGAGAAGGGAGATCAGATCAGGTCTTTCATAGATCTGATCTGACTCCTCATTTTCTCTGAATCTCTAAAATTCTTAGGATTAGTTCTTGTAATAGTTAGTATTTCCTATGTAATTGCACTTGGAGATTGAAGACTCAACTATCATGTCAATGGAGTTTGATCTTTCTTCTCTTGTTTGTATTTCAATTATGTCTTAGTAGAGTTTTTGTAGTCTGTTCAATGGAACTCAAGTTTGAATTTATGAATGGTTAATTAGATGTTTTGTTTATCTATTATGTGATTCTATGAAGTTGTTTTGATTAATTCTTCATGTTGAGGAATAGTGTAGAACATACATGTTTACATTGTTTCTCTATTTTTGACAACTTCATCATCAGTGTTCTAGTAGTCAAGGGATTGATGCTAGGATTCTGATGTGATCTTAAGACCTTAGTAATTAATGCATGTATTAAGAAAGGAATCACCAAGGGATTGAGGTTTCTGATTAATGTGTCTATCAGGGTAGTAAGGGATTACATCTTGAGATGATAAGAAAAAGGTTGATTAACATCACATAGTAGATAATTCATAATGGAAATTGGTTCATCTATAAATTCATGTTTGAGGGAAAATGACATCTGACTACTTGTTTACATTATAATTTACATTTTATTTATTTATCAAGTTTCAATTCAATTCAGTGTAGTTTCTGGTGACAAGAAATCTATGCAATCTATGAACTTTTGTTTGATTCAACTCAAGTACATATGGTTAGTCAGTGCTTGACACAAATCCTCGTGGAAACGATCTTTACTCATCATTTTATTACTTGTACGACTAGTACACTTTCTAAACGTCCAACATGTATCCTCCAATCATTAACTAAGTGTTTATTCTTTGTAATAAAATTAATCACCTACCTTTAATGAGTACTCATAATATTCTAAATAGTGTTATGCTTGCTATATGTTATCT